TGAGACAGGGTTTCTCTGTGGCTTTGGAGGCTGTCCTGGAACTAGCTCTTGTAGACCAGGCTGTTCTCGAACTCACAGAGATCTGCCTGCCTCTGCCTCCCAAATGCTGGGATTAAAGGCGTGCGCCACCAAACTGCTTTTTAAACACTTAAAAGTCATAAATTTGTGTTGCTCTCAACTTTCATCAGAGCTTTTTTTTTAAAGATTTATATATTTATTATGTATGCTGCATATAGGCTTGAACACCAGAACTCATTATAGATGGTTGTGAGCTATCACATGGTTGCTGGGAATTGAACTCAGGACCTCTGGAAGAGCAAGAGTGCTCTTAACCTCTGAGCATCTCTCCAGCCTAAGAAGCTTCTTTTTGCAGTGGCTAGTAGTAATGCTGAGACTCATAACTCATCAAAATTCTACGTGTAAGTTAACTGTGAGCACTCAGTTGTGGACAAATCTGTATCAGCCTCAAGCCCATCAAAGTCTCGGGAAACAACACAGAAGAGCAACTGCAAAGGGATGTAAAAGCTGGCAGATTGGGAGAAGAGCTTAATATGCTGACTTGCAGATATAACGTGGCTGCCATACACATCAACTCATAGTAGCGGTGGTTATTTGTGGAAGACTTTGCACAAGATAGAGCCAATCAAAATTCCATATGGTTGGGGTGGGGCCCCTAAGGCTCCACCCTTAGCAGAGGGTTACTCTCTTGGAAATATGGTTTATGTTAAGTGGTCGATTGACAGTGGATAGCCCCATATTGAGCATATGGATAGAACTAATGACATTTGCAGTCATTATAAACTAATGGGGAAGAAAAAAGAAGACATGAAAATGGGAGCACTATGAGGCAGGGGTGATAAGGGGAAATGGAAGGAGGCAGCGTGGATGAATATGATCTAATTATGTTGTATATGGAGATGGAGACATGACTCAGCAGTTAAGAGCACTTGTTAATTTTGCAGAGGGCCTTTGTTTGATCACACGAATGTGGTAGTGATCAACCATCTGTAATTCCAGTTCCAGGAAATCTGATACCCTCTTCTAGTCACCGAAGAGTATCAGCCATGCCTGTGGCTCACATATATACGTGTAGGCAAACTACCCATACACATACAGTTAGAATTACAAAATAAAAATCAGTTAACCAAAAATAACAAAAAATATAATTTGAGGAAAGCTGAAAAGCAATGTCTGTGGACTGATAATCTGAAGACTCAAACACCTAGAGAAGGAACAGAACCACCCACCACTGAATGGCAGGGAAGGACCTTTATAGAGTCCAAATATGCACCAACAAATCAGACTTGTTAAGTTTCATGTCCCATATCTCCACCTAGCTTTAACTTCCTCATCTATCCCATTCTTGTTTAACTTGTAAAGTTACTTTGGCAGGGCAGCTTGGCCTTCCTTTTCCTCTCTCATCTTTTCCCTCTTCCTCAAGATTTAGTTTTATGATCATTGGTGTTTGTCTGCCTGTGTGAGAGTGCAAGATCCCCTGGAACTGGAGTTATAGACAGTTGTGAGCTGCCATATGGATGCTGGGAATTGAACCTGGGTCCTTTGGAAGAGCAGTCAGTCTTGTCATTCCATCCCTCCAGCCCGAAAAGTTACTTCTTGATTGACAGCTAATATTATGGCCTTAATATATTTTAATATATGGTCTAGGAGTTCTGGTTTTGATACTGTTTTGAAATAAAACAGCTATGAAGATGTACTTTACCATGGCTTTACTTACCGTCCTTTCAGAGTTCCCAATTCTTTCAGGGATGGTTCTGTCCTGACAGCATTTTTTTTTTTTAAAAAAAAGATTTATTTAGTACACAGTGTTCTGCCAGAAGAGGGCGCTGGGAATTGAATCAAGGGGTCCTTTGGAAGAGCAGTCAATGCTCTTTAACCTCAGAGTCATCTCTTCAGCCCTCCTGACAGCATGTTTTTAAGTCTGCATGTTGACACAACTTAAATATTCTGACTTCCATTCCACTGGCTTAACATCATTCTAGGGGTTATTCTGGGGAAGATCTCAGAAGTTTTTCTTAATTGAAAACTTGAAAATTGAGTTAGTCTATATTAAACAAGGTAGAAATGACCGTCTTTGGAGTTTTTTGTTTTTTTGTTTTTTTGTTTTTTTTTTTTTAAACAAAGTCTGAAGAAGCACTGGGACTTCTTGGGACTGCTATTTGCATTGGCTCAGAAAGTCTCTTGTACAGCGGGGCAAACTGTAAGTTGAGAAAGGTTCATTCAGTGTTGAAGGCTTTTCCTGACTGGAGACCAACACAGAAATGGTTGCTTAGCTTTGGTAAAGGCTACTAGATTCTGTATCCCATTTTCTAGTAATGATTAATACCAAGAAAAACTTAACTTGTGTAGAATGTTGAAGACAAAAATAACTAGAACATTAAAACTGGATTTCTGCAGAATTATTTGAACCACTTCAACACGGGCTAAATTAAGTGTAAACATATGAAGTGTTAAAAAATTAAAAAAATTCAAACAGTTAAGAAATAATTTTGAAGAGAGGGCCTCTAGCAGAAAATGTCTCTCAATGCTAACCTCAACTTAAACACTGAAAACAAGAGCTATTTTTTTTGTTATAGACATTGAGTAAAAATAATATAGATAATGAAACTGAAGGAGCTTACCTTAATGTAAGATTATAAATTATATGAATAGAGCAGCAAGAATTATCAAATAGTGACTAATGCAAGAAAAAAAGTCCTCTTTTTAAGCCCAATAAAATGATAAAACATCATTAACAGTATATTGAAAACAGAAGCAAAGCCAGGTGTTGGTGGAGCATGCCTTTAATCCCAGCACTCGGGGGCAGAGACAGGCAGATCTCTGTGAGTTCGAGGCCAGCCTGGTCTACAGAGCGAGTGCCAGGATATGCTCCAAAGCCACAGTGAAACCCTGTCTTGAAAAAGGCCAAAAAAACAAAAAACATAAAAAAAAGAAGCAAACCCTGGTTTTAAAGATTTTTGCCATTGCTGCTTAATGTTGATAATGTTGAAACAAGCACCTTTATAACTTCACAGAAGTAATTTTGCTTATTTCAGATATTAAAAGTTAATCTCCCATTATCTTATGTGATACACTATTATAGTTACACATTTTATAAAGTTATCTCACATTCCAAAATTACATACACTTAAAATTATTAAACACTAAAGAAAACACGCAGGTGTAAAAATTACATAGGCAAAAATTGTGAAAACTTAAAAACTGTATTTATTTTGGTATGAAGAGACTTATTCTTAATGTCTTGGCGGAAAAGAGCTCTGTTGCCATGGAGCTGAAAGACAAAAGAAAAAACAAACACAAAGATTTGAGGTATATTAATGATACAGACCAATGCTAAATAGTAACATAGTATAAAGAGTCTGAGATTAAGTTAAAGCTAAAGAGGTTGAGGTTAAATTGTTTATCTGCCATTTGTCAGTCATAGGTTCTTGAGGAAGTAATTTATAGTTTTCTGGGTGATAGTTTCTCGTCTGTATCTTGGGTATTAGTGAGAACTAAATATAATAAAGGATATACTCTGTTTGGCATACAAGTTTGAAGTGTTTTCCTTTAGTTCCATTTTCTGGTATAAAACATAAACATTCTAAGCAAGAGGATTTAAAAGGATTTTTACATCTTTTAAGTGTGCACGTACTTTAACAGGCCACTTCCATGCACTGTTTACACTACTGAAAACTAAAACAACAATTTGTTACCTACTTTAAAGAGGTAATTAGTTTGAAGATTTGTTTTGATCCTGGTTAATCTGAAACATGTAACCAAATTCTGGAGCACTAGCATTTCTCTCTCTGCTTCCTACCTGTAGACATGGGGGGACCCAGCTTGCCTCATGCCATTACTGCCAGGCCTTCAGTTTCTTTTTTCTCTTTTGGTTTTTCAAGATGGGGTTTCTCTGTGTAGCTTTGGAAGCTGTCCTGGAACTCACTTTTTAGACAAGGCTGGACTTGAATTCACAGAAATCCACCTGCCTGCTCCCGAGTGCTGGGACTGAAGGCGTGCGCCACCAATGCCCAGCTAAGGCCTTCATTTTCTAAGGGACTGCATTCTATGAACTTTGAGACAAACTAGAGTATTCATCCCAACTCGATTTAATCTGACATTTTACAAACAGGTGCTTTACAGAGAAGACAATCTAAGTTCAAGAGGCAAAAGACTACATTCTTGTTAAACTAGTATCTTCCAATTAATGACATTCACTTATATGAAGGTATTACAAAACAGAGAAGGAAAAGGTTGCTTAAAATAATTGATGTTTTTCCTTTTTTCATCTTTTACTATTTTCCTCCATTTATCAAAATGAAGCTTCACAATATGAAATCTAGATTATGTAGAAAAAGACTCTCCACATAGCCTACTATTACTTCTGGGGAGTGAATAATTAAAATGTTGGAATATTTCAGAATTTCTGTTCATTATTCACATATGTGAAGTTTGTTTTAAAAAACTGTCATGTCCAGTTGTAGCTTGGTCTTTTTAGACTTGTACCTAATACATGAGCTAGCTCTTTGGAAGCTATTCCCTATGGTGGGATGCCTTTTCAGCTTTGATGCAGAGATGAGGAGCTTGGTCCTGCCTCAACTTGATATGCCATGCTTTGTGGACTCCCATGGGAAGCCTTACCCCTTCTGAATGCAGACAGAGGAGTAGTAGATGGGGGGAGATAGAAAGGAGGTATGGGGAGGGAATGGGAAGAGAGGAGGGAGGGAAAACTGTGGTTGGTATATAAAATTAAAAAAAAGATGAATAAAAAAACTGTCATGTCATTAAAAACTTGTATTAACTAATGGTTTCATGACTATGAATTTCATAATTGTTTTAGGTGTTCCCTAAAGATGCTAACTGAAGGATGTATTAGTGACATCATCAATTTTCCTTTTCTGTGTTCTGACCAGATTTACAACTTACAACAAAATTCAACTCTGCTCAGTATTCCACACATCAACAAGGAAAACTGCTGTATGTACCACCACTTATGACTTCCTTTACATAAATGTAAAGCCAAAGGCAAAAATGATTGAAACTTTCAACTCACCGTAAGTCCAAGGAACTTGTGGAAGCACACCTGGGTTAGGAGGATAAGGATAGGCAGCTTGTGGTACCAGCTGATGAGACGAAAACTGCGAATAAACTGGTTGTTGGTAACTGTAAGAAACAGGCATGGGAGATGGAGAATAGCCATTTCCTGGGATAAAGGCATTTGCTTGCTGCTGCCTAGCAAAATAGCTAAAATGTTCAGAGTATGAATGATTGAAATGTGTGTTCTGGACAGCACTTGCAACTGCAGTCATCATGGGAGGAGGGGTCTCGTACGTTGTCATCCCTTGGTACGTACGGGTAACAGCGGTGCCACTGCTGCTGCTGCACTGATAAAAACACCAAGCATAGTATGGATATGACCCTCCAAATGAATGCTCAGAAGAATTATATACTGTGGTATATGTGGACTGTGGAGGTGCATTCCAGGATGTACCAACTTTCTGAGTCACGACTTTAGGATTCTTTCCACCCTGTTCAGAGACAGTGCATTGTGCTCTCTGATTCACATCAAGGGCTAAGCTCCCATATGAGCCAAAAGGTGAGATACTGGGATTTGGTGCATCTTTTATAGGCTGTGTTTTATTTACTTGCAGGACAGGAATTTTGTCCTGGATACACACAGGCTCTGGAGAGCTGGTACATGTACAATCTTTAACAGACAAATCTAGTATCTTATTATCTTCATGTTCAAAGTCTGTGTCATTCATCTCAAGGTTGCTATGGATGGCCCTCACAGAATGGGAAGCAGGCACTGATGCTCTAGGCATAAGAGAGTCATCATTTCCTGGTCTTACGTTTGAAGGACAGATCTGTGTGTGATCTACAGGGTTTCCATGCAACTTCTGTGCTGGTGTGTTGTCAGGTGAGCAAGTGGCAGCTATATCCTTTTGGTCACAAGATACTAGAGGATGGTCTTTCTTATTTGTTTGGGCAGCATTAAAATTCACATTTCCTTTCATTATGCCATTTAAGCTTTCCTGCTGTTCAGCGAGATATTCTGAAACACCAGATGAGCTATCTGTCAGCTCTATTTTGCTTTCTGGCTTTGGTGTGCAAGTGTCTTCTATGTTCTCAGAAGGTGAAAGCAGGCCAGGTGTTGAGCTTGGTCTTTTGACCATTTCTGGAGATGCAGAGTCTCTCTTCAGACTGTCAGGTAAATTTGATCCTATTTTGTTTTCATCTATGGGATGAGATTCTGTAGTCCTATTAGTAAAATATAAATTCAAGCAACTTTAAAGATACAGTCATAACATTCTAACAAATATTTGCATTTTTATTGTACAATAATTCATAGGATTAACATTTTCTTATTTCACTGGGAGTATAAAAGTAAAATACTTTTCAGTTTTACTCCCTTGGTTTGAATTTAGATATGGCTAATGTTGAAGATGATATACTCCACATTTCAAAACATTCCTAATATTGTGCTAGACACCTGAGTGACGTGAAATTTTTTTAATAAAGCTTTTAAAAGTAGGAAACTACCATTATTCAGTTGTTTGGTATAGTTTCTAGTTCATATACTTCTAACCCAATGACAAGTTTCATTACTCATCAATAGCTCTCTTCCCTTTTCCCATCTCTTTGGCCCAACTATTATAGTTACTGGTCCCTACCACCCAATCATCTCCCTTTTCTCATTAAAACAAATATTCCTTTTGTTTGTTTATCTTCTGAGAATAAGAAAAGCAGACCTGCAGAATTCTTGACAATATTCATAACATTCTTATTAAGTTTAGTCTTAACTAGGTGATTATAGCACCATGAAGAACCAAAGTTGAGAAACCAAAATCAGTACTACTTCTCCAGAGTTAAAAGGAATTCATCTTTGGCCTAGAGTCTCTATTCCTTTCTAGAAAATCAAAAGGCTTGTGTTTTAGCCATATAACCTTGAAAAGCTATATAAACTAAGTTTCCAGAGTAGGTAATTTGTCTTTATATTTTCAGTGATGACCTTCTGTGTAGAATTACAGCTGCTGCCTAGATGGTTTGTCCTTTTGGAGGATATTATTTCTATCAGTTAGCCCTCTGTGTCAATCTTGAAGCAGATTTTTTTTTTTTTTTTTTGGTTTTTCAAGGCAGGGGTTCTCTCCATTATTTTGGAGCCTGTCCTGAAACTTGCTCTATAGACCAGGCAGGCCTTGAATAGAGAACTGCCTGCCTCTGCCTGTCGAGTGCTGGGAATAAAAGCGTGCACCACCATCGCCCGGCCAGTTTTAATTGTTTAAGTAGCAAATACTTAGGTAATAAGCCTAAGATAATTACACTGGAGTATGTTACCATGTAGTAGTCTGTTTTATGTCATTTTATAATAATTTGGTCACATATGCTATGAAAAGAATTTTAAAAATGTATCATTTTAAGAGGAAAATCAAGAAATAAATGAAGCTGTTCCTCATTTTTGTATTTTGTTATTGTCTTTCATTAAATGGGAAAAACTGGAGATAGTAAGGAATGCCAATTTTTACATAGCTAAATGAGAGCTAATAACTTCAGTGGCACTATTTGGCACAAAGTGATAAAAATGTGAATTTTTCTATAGTCAGCTTGAAGAAACTGCCTTTGAGATATTAATGTCCCATTGGCATAAGATGGCAACTTCTCTTAAATTTTGAAATTTAGTTCCTATGTAAAATGTACAACTTAATCACTTGTCCTATTCTTTCATGTACTTTTAGAAAACAGTTTAAGCAATGCCTGTCAATATGAATTTTTCTTTCTTGAAAAATTTCTAAGGCCCAGCTAACATTAGTAATCTCTTCTCAGAATCTACTTATTCTTTACATCACTGGAAACAGGCATTGTATATGGCATTTGCCTTCAATATTTAGGAGTGAAGTTCAAGCTCATTAGGCTTCATTTAATCTGAAACAAACTTCTATGTCTGTCACTCTTGTCCTCCAAGCTAAATGTATTATTCAATATGTTTGAATTGTTTTTATTCCTGTTTTTTTTTTTTATTATTTGCCCATTTCCTTTAGTTTTTATGAAAAGAAGGTTGATAGAACTCATACCTTGGATTCTTAGATATTGTCTTTTGTCTGTTTCTTACATCTTTCATGGTAACCTATAAAAATAAAATCATGTTTTACATTAGTGATGACAAACTGCATTATAGCATCAATGTATTCACCTATTCAAAAACCAGTGGCTTATAGTTCATGTTTACAGAAATTGCTTTCAAAAATAAATTTGTAATATTCTTTGTGCCCATATACATGAAAGTTTAAAACTAATCGTGCAGTCTATTTATGACTGTTCCCTCTTTGTTTTTCGAGACAGAACTTCTCATTTTAAAAAATTTCTAATTTTATGTGAACAGGTGTTTTCCCTACATGGACCTTTGTACATCACATATGTGCAACTATCCATCAATTCTCTAAGGAGTATCTGACAAATACAAGATGAGTGCTCTTAATCTCCAAACTGCAAAGCTGTCAATTCTATGGCACAATACTCTGTAAATGTTAACACCAGGAAATTTTTACTCCATTCAGAAATTACTATGACACCTTTGGGTGTTGTACATGAAACATAAAATGAATTTCATGCTTAGACTTTGGTTCTATTAGCAAGATATCTGAGTACACATATGCAAATATGACCAAATCTAGAAAATGCCAAAATCTGGAGCACTTTTGGGTTAGCGTTATCAACCAGCCTGCATTTTCCATTCTTATGCTATAAGACAGCACCATTTTCTAGTCTTGGCTGATTTACTATCTCTAACTATATTCAGTATTTCATTACCTTTTAAGTCAACAACAAAAAAGCAAACAAAACCCTAACAACGAACACATTTCACATGACATTACACTTTAATATGTAAGGATTAAGTTCTAATTCCTTAGGCCTATATTTAAGATCTGGAACAACCTCCCCCAACTTCTCCCATGCACAGACATGTGTAACAACCTCCCTTAATCCTGCTCTCATTCTTCTTGGCCACCAATTAAAACGGGCTGAAAGCACAAGTCTATGGGTATAGTACTTGCCTAGCATATACAGAGTTTGGGTTCAAACATCAATGTTATAAAATGAAAAAACACCTGGTACCCTTATCTTTTAATAAGTCAACAACAGGACATATATATCCTATGGTTTTTGTGAATTTTTCATTATTTTATATATCAAATAAATATGATAAAATGTATTCATGAGACTTTTCTCTTTGACAATCACATATTAAAAATATCTGCCGGTGGTGGTGGCACAAACCTTTAATGTCTGTACTTGGGAGGTAGAGGCAGGCAGATTTCTGAGTTTGAGGCCAGTTTGGTCTACAAAGCAAGTGCCAGGACAATCAGGGCTACATAGAGAAACCCTTTCAAAAAACACTTCTGCCCTGTATTCTTCTGACAGGTTAAGCAGGTAGTGTTTTTAATGTTCATGACATTAGCTAAAGAAACCACTCAATAAATAACTGGTAACTGGTAAAACTTACATTTACAATAATGAACTTGCCCTCTATTAGACATTAGAATTTACTCTTTCATGAAATACTTTGAAAATTATGCATCTGCAAGGTTATCTCAATTATATAATTCTGTAGAGAATATGAGTCATTTAACCTCAACTTTTGTATTCTGTATACTTTTCTGCTTAGAGTAAGTTTGTTTTCAAGAGTATTTTTCAAACCTGATTTTAAAACATTTGTACCTTTTGTCTTTTACAATTGGAAACTGCATCAGTATTTTCTTTTCCCTGAGACACTTCACACTTGTCTGCAGTCACAGGTCGTTTTTTAGAGGAACTTGCAATGTTTTTTATTGTGCACCCTGCAGCTAAGGGTGTCTGCACAGAAATATCAGGTTGACTGCTGTTCTCTTCAGGTTCTGTAGTGGGCATTTCTCTCTTTTCTTTTTTGCTGAATTGCAAAGTGTTCCTTCTGTTACGAAGCATTTGGAAAAAGAGGAGATGAGTGGACAATTTAGTACCTTTAGCCCTTATCATCTTCATATGTTTAATTGTCTTCAGAACTTTCATTATATGGACCATTTTCCCAAAATCTTTCTGAGGGACAGACATTATATTTTTGAGTAATGTAAAAAGCTGGTTGTAGTTATGATCCAATTCTTCCACAGTGTTTCCATAATTTACACATGCAATATGTGGTGCCAAGTCAATATATGTGGAAACTGAATATTTAGACATCTTTAGAAGCCTTTTAATTCCCAAAAGTTCCTTAAGTTCTCTGGAGAATAAGCGTAGAGCATAGGAACAATTAACAGCTTCACCATAGTCATAGAGAATACATAGCTCTTTCTTAAGGTGAGAAATAGCCGTCTCTATCACTTTCCAAAGGCAATCTGTTTGGTTGTCATCAACTGAAAAGGACGCCATTTCTTTTTGGCAGCCAACAAGCTCAGGAAGAAGAGACCAATCAAACCAGAGCATACCTCGAAATCTCTGATTGTGTAGTTTCTCTGCTATTGAATTTTTAAGAAAATGAACAGTTTCTGAGAGCATGATAGTTTCAATATAAATCTCAATAGCTTCCGGCTTTAAAATGACAGCTCCATGGTTGTGGTTTAGTATATCCAGAACATTTTCTTCAGTGATAAAAATATTATTTATATTGTCTTCTTGCAGCATCTGGAAGTATTTTTTTAAAGTTTCTAAGTGAACTGTACATTTCAGAGTGAGGTCCTGTAATGTTTCTAGGTCTGCAGATTTAGCTTGATCCAGTATCTCACTAATACAACAAATATCTGGGTATGAAAGCCAAGCTTTGTTCAGCTTACAGTTTGGTAGGCTAACTAGAGCTGACTGTCTGGACACAATCATATCATCTTCTTTAAGCCCAATACTGGGAGTTGATTCATTGTCTAAGTCCTTAGACAAGACATCATAGATCTTCTCCCACTTAGAAAAGGCACATTCATTTATCGTCTCCATTTCTCTATTTTCAGAATGTCTTTTGGGGAAAGATTGGCTTTTCTCTTTCCATACAAGACTTTTTGCAGCATCAAAATATATATGTTCCAGACCATAGAGACAAATTTTGATACTTATTTCTTCATTGCTCTTGATAAAACTAACCTTTGAGGAGACCACTTCTAAAATGATCCACAAATGGTCTTCCTTTCCTGGGTAACAATGGGCTTTAGGAGAGCCTGCATGCATACTGATCAGCTTCAGAACACTTTTTCTTAAGGCTTCCAAGTCTGCTAAACTATCTCCAAAGTTAACGCCACAGGTAAATGGAACAGAAAGACAAAAGTCAAAGCAATCAGAATAGTGTCTCTTTATGGCTTCACATTCTTTAATTTGCCGTTTGTATTTTAAGAATGCGTAATATGAATTATTTTCCTTTTTGGTTTCTGCTAAGATTTCAACTAGCTGATGATAATAACTTTGTAACTCACAGAATGCATTATATTTTAATCGTCTTTGAAAAGCAGGATAGAAATTGGACTGCAGCTGATATCCACGTGGCCTGGAAAGCAGCTCACTGTACAAGCTCTCATCATACCATAATAAGCTTCGGAATGTTACTTTACCTTCTAAGAATCTTTTTTTGTTTTCAATGAACTGAATAGTTTCCATTGCCATTTGAAGTTCTACCCAAGTATCAACAGCAGATGGTTTCAATTTAAATCTACAATTATCCCACAAGTTCTGTTCTACCATCAGCTTTCTTGAAATCAGGATTTGGTCAAGTGAACATTCTTGCTTTCTTTCAAAAGCTTCAACAAATAAAGGGAGAAGATTTTGACAAACTTTAGTCTCTTCTTCTAAAACCTTCAAAGAAACTGCTGTATCTGCTTTTTGTAAAATCTGAGACAATTCTGTTACACGAGATGTGTAATTAGCTACACGATGCCCTTCTTTTAATCCTTGCATGTGTGTTGGAGGCTTCTTTTCAGCAGGGACTTCAGAGTTCTCATGTAGATCCGGCCTACAATTGGTTCCTGCAGTGGCTGGTTTGGAGGGACAGTCAGATTGTTGTTTCATTTGCCCCACTTTCTGTCTTTTGCTAAGCTGACTAGGAATGTTTTTCAAAGCAGTTGTCTCTAGGGTAGAATTTTTAATGCCTAGACAAGAATCAGTCAAGTCGTTTTTAATTATTTTCTTGTGTGAGTGGAAGGATCCTTCTTTTAGGATCTTATTTTGATGTTTGTACCCAGTAACAACTGCTTGGTAAACTGCTTGCTCAATTTTTTTCATTTTTTCTTCCTCAATGTATTTTGCCATATATGTTTTTGAAGGAACCTTTACATTCTCTTTTAAGAGCAGAGAACCACCATTGGAAGATGGTTTTATATTTTTATTACAACTTTTACTTTCTTTATTTACTGACATCAGATCCAATTTAGAATGCTTAGTAATATTCACTTCATTCTCTTTTAAATGGAGTCTATTTTCCCCCAGAGAAGATTCTTCCTCACCAGCTGTCAATAGAATTGGTGACAATGGTGGTATATTTCCTGTAGGAATGCTTGGTTCAATCTCCCTAAGAACTGTACACTTTTCTACGGGAAGAATTGTGCCCCCATTTCTAGTACCATCAGATACAAGGTTATCTTGTTCACAGATACCAACATTTAAAAAGTGTTTCTTGTTTAAATCTAAAACTGAAACAACTATGTCAGTGTTAGCTTTACAAGTTAAATCACATTTATCTTGACTATGACTTATATTTTCTTTCATGGAACTTAAAGACACTGAATTACTTTCACATACCACTGTTTCATCTTCAGAATTATTTTCTTTTGTTATATCCTTAATATTATGTGTTGAATGGTTTCCGAGCTTTGCAGAGTCAATGCCAGTCTGATACTCCTTTTCAGTTACTGTTTCACCTGGGTAAAGTGTGTGCCCACTTGTTTCAGAAAAATGTTCAAGTTCAGAAGAGCTTGCATTTCTCACAATGCTATTAGTGTATCCTAATTGACTTATAGTCTGGGATGTATAGGCTAGGGGTAACTGTGATTGGTGAAGTCCATCACAAAATTCTCTCACATGGAAAGTGGTAAGACTACTGGAGACATGGCCAGACATGATTCCTCTGGAAAGGTACTCTGAAATTCTCTCTCTGTTTGTTCTGTAAGATCTGTGCTTTGATACTGGGGCCAATGATTCATCAACATCAAATCTTAACCTTTTTTCTCCCTGTTTGTCATACCTTCTTTTGGATAAAAAATGCCTAGATCTTCTTTCAGACATCCAACTGTCCCCTTGAAGATCACAACTTTCCCAGAAATTATTACATATTACTGAATATGCTTTTGGTAATGGGCCCTTTCTCTTCTTTCCCACTTTAGATATAAGCTGCAAAGACGTATGAACTCTTCTATGAGCTTTTTTTAAGTGAAGAACAGCTTTGTCCAGTTTTCTGGACAGATGTTTGCTTTTACATAAAGATGCTTCATTATTTAGAATATCCAGTACATTCCTAATATGCCTCTCTGACTGTGAAAATGTTTTAATTCGCCCTTGGGATAGGGAAGAAAAACGTTCAGATGAGTCATAACTCGCTGGCTTCCTCCTTTTCTCATGAGTTTCATGCTGCCTTAAATCTTTATGGGATATGTTCTGACTCCTTGAAGATGCATGCAGATTTCTTTTGCCATTTCTTGATTCCATGTCCTTTTTATTTCTAGTGTCATTAAAGTCATGCTTTGATTTTCTGGGACATTTACTCTTCTCATTGATGACTGTGACATTACATGATTCAGTAGACAAAGAGTTACTGTTTGGTTTTCCAGAAATGTGACTTACACATGTCCTATGACTTGAGTTTGAAGAATGGGAGGTTCCAGATTTACTCACGTATTCCAATTCTTGCACTGAATCGCCACATTTATTTTCACATGAAAAACCCGAATGTTGGGAATAAATGCTAAATCCAAAAGGTTTTCCTTCATTTGCTTCTGGTTCTGTGGATTCAGTTACACATTTGTAAAAATTACCTTTTGATTCTAAAGAATCATCAGTGGGACTGATTCTTAGACTAATTAAGTTTGTAATTGTAACTTGTAGATCTGGAAGAAAAATTGGGTTGTGAAGCTCTCTTCTGTCTTTTTGTGACGAGAAAGAAACACAATTACAATCTGTAGAATGTGGATCAGCACCCTCCCTTCGGGCAAAACTGATAGCTTCCATCTCTTTATTACTGTTTCCAAATAGGCCCTCCCAATCAATTCGAGACTTCAGGGACTCATATAACTCAAATTCTTCACAAAGATGATTTCCTTGGCTATCTATATTTTGTGGAAACAAAGAAGCATCATTACAATCTTCAAGCTCTACTTCAATTTCACTTCCCAATTCGTAAGTTTGAAGAATTGAATTCTCATTTACTAATTGATAAAAATCTTGTAATTTATCTTTATCAGGATCAATCTCACAATTGAAAATGCCATGTTTTACTAAACCTAAATCTGAAATCTCAGAGGCACAAGTTTCTTTTAGCTGGTGTTTTTGATGATCCTCACAATTTGTGTTTAATGTAAGAATGGTAGTATTAACTACTTGTTTTGTAGCATTGGAAGCTATACACACTGAAGAAACTTCAATTTCTGGAAATGTGGACACCAAGTGTTCCACACTTCTTCCATCACTTGGTGCATGTCTTTGTTTTATGGAATCCATACTATCTTCACTCTCTGATGACGCAGATGTTGCTGGTCTACCTTTCTTCCCACAAATTGAGTCAAATGTGGAACATTCTTCAGAATTCAGGATTTCTACTTTGGTGTTACTCTTAATTTCCCTCATTTCAACTGCATTTGCATGAAAATCTTGCTTTTCACTTTCATTTATATTATCTGTTTTGTACTCAGGAGATGAAGCACTCTCTTTATCTTTAGCCTCATTTGGGTTTTCATGTCTTTGTTCTTGCGAATTAATTTTCAAGTTTAAATCAGAGCTCAACTCTGCATCATAAGACAGGCAGTGGTCCTGCACATTGCCTTTAGTATGAGAAGTTTCTTTGCAGTCTTTTTCATCATTTTTATTTTCCCTCTGGATGCACATATATTCTCCAATCATGTTGCCACCTGAAGTGTCAAGAGATACATCACTGGCAGAAGATGAAACAACTCTATCAATGAAGTGTTCTCTATCCAGGGGAATATCTTTTGCTTCCTGGAAAGCATCAGTCATGTTAATGAAGTTCTGATTATTTTGTACTACTTTCAATTCTGTTAGCCCCTGAGCCATGGCAAAATTTGTATCAATATTATCTTTGTGCTCCAAAGAGTACTGAGGATGCTTTTGTAAAAGGTACCCTGTATCTGGAGTAAGATTACACTCTAATTCCACTACTGCACGATCTAGTTCATTTTTATCTTCTGTGGTAGATATGGGAGGTTTGGGCATTTGTAACTTATGAGTAACTGGTATTTTGTCACCATTTCCCGTTAAAGAATTAAGATTTCCACATTCTTTGTGTTTCTGGTCCAATGTAATGCAACTATCAATTGGGCTACTTTTAGTTTTATCAGTAAAATAGTTAACAGTTTCTTTCCAACAAGTTTGGTTTACACATTTAGAACCGTCTTCTGGGCTGATGAAGGTTCTCATCATTCCAGTATTTTGCATATATTCATCTAGGTTTCCTTTATTCTGGATTGGGAAGACTGCAGACATCTTGTGACCAACTTTATATACATTATTTAAATCAGAAGACCATGATGCCGTAGAGATGTGACTCTGATAGTCTTTACTATAAGTATTTTTTTCTGATCTAAAGGAGTTCTGTGGCTCATTGCTTTGTTCAGTTAAAACTGGGATGTTGCTTCTTTTTTGGGCTTCCTCCTCTTCATTGTATTTTTGTTTTTCAACATTTGAAATTGCATTTGGTAAATAACGAGGGAACGAAATACCGCTTTGCTCTTTACACTGCTCTGTAATGGCAATCTTACTTACTGTTGTACTGTCATATTCCCTTGAGCCCATATTGTGAGTCTGACAGTATGATCTTTCAGAAGAGAATTTGAAGCAAGAGATATCTGAACAATTAGTAAGAGCATGATCAGCAGGGGTAGTTTCAGGTGAAGAGACCAAGCTAGCTGGCATACAAGTCAGCTTTATTTCTGAATTACCATGACCCACACTCTTATCAAATGGCAAAGTATCACTTAAACCAGCAGCATTATTTTGTTTCCTCATGCTTTGTTCTCTCTTCATCAGTCTTGGGTCCTTAATAAGTTTTGAAGTGATAACTGTACTTGAGCCAGTACTGCTCTGAGAGGGAAGAACAGCAGAAATACTACTTAAAATACTTCTGAGATATGTCACACTGAACAGGTCACCATTGCCACTTGCTGTGTTAGCAGTGGGCATCAAAGAAAGAGCTGAATTGTGTGTGTGCACTTGAGAAGCATCCCCAACTTCTGATAAATTATCTGTATGTCTGCTGTATGTATCAAACACACAACTGTTTCCATTCTGCACACTTCTATGAGAACTAGAAGATTCCAAACTGGAAGAATCCGTCTCTGAAGTTAGTGCTTTGCATGGACAATTTTCCTGACTAAACAGATCAACAGGTTTCCTGAAGTGCTCAAAGATGACTGTAGCATCTTTTCCTTTTCCAATTCTTTTTGCAACTGTACAGTTACTCAGAGAACATGCTTTTTCTGTGGAAACATAAATAAAAAAAATACAACATGAATAATTTTAACTGAGTTCTTTTAATAGCCCAATACTGATCATCTGTTCTTAGCAGGAAAACAGAGAAGAAAATAAGTAACCAATAAGAAATACAATGTTACAACGCAAAGTATAACTCTAGTTTAAGCAACTTAAATGCTTTGCTACCAAGATTGTTAACTTGAGTTTGGTCCCTGGGACTCATATAATGAAAGAAAAAAACTAAGTCCTACACACTATCCTATGATCTTCATATATGTGCCTCGCACACATGTGAGTACATTAACACACAAAAAATAAATACGCAATAAAAAATTGAAGTCTGGGGATACAGCTCAGTTGGTAAATGTGCTACCAGGTAACATGCAGGAAGCTCTGAGTTCAATTTGCAGCACTGCATAAAACTAGCGTTTGGGAGACTGAGGCAGGGAGATCAGAACTTAAAGGTCACCTATCCTTGGCTACTGAGTGGAGGCTGGCCTCGATTACCCTGTTGTAAAAATACATTTTTATTCGAGATTCCTTACACTAACTTTCAATACTCAATTGCAGCATTTATGCACTAGGAGGCAAAATGGTGTCTACTTGCTGTCACTTTGCTTCTTTTCCTTTTACCATGGAAAGGGAAAAAAAAGCAGCAAATGACAATGAAGTAAAAAAGTAGGGGAGAGGCAGAAGAGATGGCTCAGGGAGAATGGTGTTTTGCCATCAAGTCTGATGATACCCTGAGTTAAATCCCCAGGACACAGTTGTGGAAGAAACCACTTATTAAAAGTTGTCCTCCAGTTGACTTCCAGGTGTTGATTCACACATGCCAACACACAATGTAAATAAAATATAAAAAATTTTAAAGCAAGGAGAAAAAGTCCTATAAACTCTTTCTCTACACTTATAGTAAGTATCCTTGGAAGTTACACAGATTGAACATCCTTATCCAAATGCTTAGGATCAAAAGCATTTACACATAACAATAGACCAAAACACTTGAGAAAAAGGGCCCTCATCAATAGATTCAAATTATTTTACTACTGATCCTAAAGAAGTAAATCAGGTGGCGTACTCCTTTAATCCCACCACTCAGGAAGCAGAGGCAGGTGGATCTCTATGAGTTCGAGACCAGCATGGTCTAGAAAGCCCCCAAAAGCCCCGAGAAAACCCTTTAAAAAAAAAAAAAAAAAAAAAAAAAAAAACATTAAAAAATTATGTATTACCAATAATGTAGATTATGGAACCTCGTGTTCCTACACAACACTTTAGAAATTCCCATGACACCATCTCTAGTTTAAGCTATACATTCTTAGTGTTAATACATACTCCAAGTAAACTAGCACAGTAGCACCAAGACCCTTATATAAATAGCAATGTGGAATAAGAAGTTGTAAGGGTACACAGATTTTTCCAATGCAGTAGTATCAACCATAAAAATGAATGAATTGTTGTGATAGCTATCAACACAGAAAAATTACATGAACAAATAATAAGTCAAAGAGGTAAAAATATGTGTATATGACCCTAGACACATAAAATGGAAAATGCAGGTAAAATACAACTGTTTTGGTTAGAGATGCACAATGTATCAGAATTCTCAGAATTTAAGACCAGCAGAGTTGAATAATGAATGTTTCTTACCAAGCCTCTTAGGAAATCCTGTGGAGGGGAATCTCAGTGATGTCATAAGTTGTCCATTACCTGTCTTTTGACCATTAAATTTAACTGTTACTATTGCATATGGAAGACACTGTCTAGGTCTATCTACTGGTCTTGAAAAGACATCATATTCATAGAAGTATACCTGAAAGACATAAGAAAAATCAAACTATTATAAAACCCTGGGCCCAGCTTTGTACTGGAGTATCTAAACCATAAGATTAAGTATGAGGGGGCTGGAGAGATGACTCGGTGGTTAAGAGCACTGACTTGATCTAGAGGACCTAGGTTCAACGCCCAGTACCTATAAAGCAGCTAACAACTGTCTGTAACTCCAGAATCTGACATCCTCATATACATGCAGACAAAACATGAATGCACATAAAAATAAATTTTAAAAAAGATTAAACATGAACTTTGAGCAGTCCCCAAAAGGAGTTAGATAAAAGGTAGCAAAACAACCCCCCCCCAAAAAAAAACCTGTTACTTATATCTCGGTAGCTCTGCCTCTTGATAGAATGTTGCTTTGTGGTTAAATGACCTCAAGGATACATAGAGGTTGTTCCTACTATGTCAAAACCGAAGGTACCAGGGCACTGTCCCACATGTGAACAAAAACAGAGGGGTCTGCAGCTTTAGGGACCATGGCTTCATTACAAATTGTGTTTTTGATGAAGAGTTGTAGTATCCCATGAATATGCCACAATAGTCACAAAACAAAAAACCCCACAACAAAGAACCCAATGTGCTGCTGCCCCATTCTGGGACAGTCCAGTCCTTTCTCTCTTTAGGGTACTTACCTTGCTTTGATAAATAAGCTTTTCTTTAACTGTCTCTTAATATTTCCTTTGAGAAGACAACTCTAAGAATCCCTCGATCGTCTTTAACTCTAGCTTTGTTAAGGACATGTAAAATTCCTTTTCCTCTTCCCACCACATATTTTTACTTGGAATCTACTAATACTGGCAGAAGCACAATACTGTTTTAAAATAAGTAGTATTTTCTATAAAAATGCATTGTATATGTTCTGAAACCTATTTCAAGTCCAACATAATAAATATTAATACTTCTTACATATAAAACATGTATATACTTCTACTTATTTTCACTTACAAAATAAAAAAACTTAATATTTTATTACAAATTAAGCAAAGTGTAATTAAAAAAACTGCTCCTATACTTAATCGTTAGTTCATAAAGCTTTCCTTTGTTCCTCTTCCAAAGTATAAACAATCAATACTATTGTTAAAAATTGTCTTAATTGATGCATTATAACTGGTCATATAGGGTTTAGTGTGACTTCTGTTGTAAGCATGTGTGTGCAAGAACATGTACATGTAGAAGATAGAAGTCAACTTTGGATGTCACTCCTCAATGTCCCTCGTGAGACAGGGTGTCTTACAGTTTAGAATTCACCAAGTGGCTGGCAAATGAGCCTTAGGGCCCTCTTTATCTGCCTCTCTAGCACTAGGATTCCATGTACACACCACTACATCTGCGCCACACAGCCCCCCCCCCCTTTCTAGAAATTGAATTCAGGTCTTCATACTTGCAAGGCAAGCACTTTATATTATAAACTAAGCTATCTTCCCCAGGCCTCAGTGATGTTCTGATATATATCAGGACTCAGTTAATCAAGTTACCTTAAAGTATCTACAATCTTATCTACCATCATCCATTTTTAATGGTGAAATATTTGAAATTTACTTTCAGCAACTCTGAAATATAAATGTTTTATTGTAGTTATGCCACTGTGAAGCCTTGTTCAAAAGGGAAGCTGACAGCTCACTTAGGGATTATGTCTATGGCACCTAAATAGTTTCTATACTAAGCATGTGTCTTTCAAGTCATCAAAGGAACTGTAGCATTAACATACCATTGAATTGTAGGCTTGTAGCTCAATGGTATCTTTCAGAGAAGGCGTATTTCTTGACATATGGCAATCAAAGTTAGGAGAAGGATCCAGAGACACCTTGCTTTTATCCACAGAAGGCTGAATTTTCTTGACTTTTCCAAAGAGAACCTAAAAAGCAAAGACAATGCCCAAATACTTTTAAGGCCTCATGCTTTTAATAGTGATATATTAATAAAACTGTTAGTCCATGCCCTAGATATACGGGATGTTTTTGTTTTGTTTTTTTAGATTTATTTGTTATGTATACAGTATTCTGCTTGCATGTATCTCTGCAGGCCAGAAGATGGCACCAGATCTCCTTATAGATGGCTGTGAGCCACTATGTGGCTGCTGGGAATTGAACTCAGAACCTCTCAAAGAACAGGCAATGCTCTTTACCTCTGAGCCATCTCTCTAGCCCAAATGGGATGTTTTAACATGGAAATTATACTATTTATTTCCCAAATTAAGTTCTGAGATTAGAGTTACCTCTAATAAAAATTTCAGAATAATCTAGAAGTATGCTTATACACGAGATTCTAAATATTTGACCTAGAAACAGAATGGTGGGAGAGACCAGATGACATAATTATAGACAGTAAAACATTATAGGATTATTTTTCTGCTTTGGGTTTTTGAGATGGTCTAACTGTAAAGCTCTGACTAGCCTGAAACATGCTATGTAGACAAGGCTAGCCTCAAACTTGTGATGACTTTCATATCCCCACCTTGCTTATGCTAGGATAATAGGCATGTGTCATCAGGTGGAAAATATCATGCGTAATTAAAAGTACCATTTGAACAAAGTGAGGCAGATAAATCAACAAAGAGGACAACTGAAAAAAATTAAATATTACACAAGTTAAACATTCAAGTATTGAAAACAGTACAGAATATCATGGAAGAAATACAAGAAACAAAAACAAAGTAAAAGTCTTTCTGAAGAATGGTGACCAAAAACTGATGAACCAAAACCAGGCAGATTAAGGCTTCTGCATACTATAACACAAGTATACAATTTTAAATGGTCTAAATCATGAATGAGTGGTGAAAGGTGAGTTGGAAGTACAAATATCACCAAAGTAGACATTTTATATAAACTATAATTACATTATTTTAAAAAAAGATCATTTTATTTTAATGACTCAAAAATATCGCAGATATATTAAAGTAGCTAGTCAAATACACACTAGGCCAGTTGCAAGTTCTATGCATCTCAGTCAACTTAGAGCAGCCATGGAACATAGCTTACACTTTCAATCATTTAAAGTTTTATGAATTCATCACACACACACACACACACACACACACACACACACACACACACACACACACTCAAACGACCAACAGAGTTGAAACTTAGGAAAACAATTAGCTTTATATCATCTTCACACCTCACATGTCCTTTTACCTGCATCCTGCCCTTCCTCATCACCCAATGGTACCCTTTCTCAGTGTCTTTTCTAAATGCTATTCTGTACTCACATTTACAGCTATTTACAAACATATACACATACACTATAGACTAGACCTGTGTATAAAAGAAATTTTATTTCTCTAAATTGAAAATTATTCTAAAGTAAAGATTAAACAAAAACCACAAATGTTAAAAAGGTAGCACATGCCTTTAATTCTAGCATTCCGGAGGCAGAGGCAGGCGGAGTTTCAGGCCAGCCTGGTGTACAAAGCTACACAAAGAAATCCTGTCTTGAAAAACCAAAACCAACCAACCAAATAAAACCAAAACCACCTAGACTAACTCTTAAAGAGACCCAAGTTCAGTTCTTAGCATCCACATGGCAGTTTCTATTCCAGTTCAAGGCTCTCTTCTGGCCTGTGTAGGCAGGCACACATGTGGTGCACTTACTTATGCAGGCAAAACAGCCATACACATAACGATAAACGAAAGTTAAAAAAAATGTTTGACCCTCTAATGATAATGGATATATCATATTTGAGAGAAAGGATACATGAAAATTCTATCATATGCTAGGTGGGTATGGTTCTTTAGTGGTGGCTATTATGTTTTAAAACAACACACACACACTCAAGAGATTTGTGTTATGAAGCCTTGTTCTACTCTGCTAAAACTATCATTTTATACAAGCATGGAACATTCGTTAAAAATAATAAACATTAGTATAATGCTATTAAACTGAGATAGCTCAATTAAGCTAGCTTATGCTACAATCATATTTTAAGTGTTCAGAAGACACAAACTACTATGGTGCTACATTGAATGATAAAAAAATAAAAAGAATAATGAACCCAGAAAAAGTATATATTATGAAGACAATGATGATGAGTGCTGCCTTTTTGTACCTAAGTTTTACTTTGTGCCAAAGTCTGGTAAAGAGTAAAGAACAAGAGAAAATTCCAAAGGATGACAAAGTAGTTACTTTATGGAATTCTATTTAAGATAACTTAAACTATGTTCATGCTGACTTAAAATTACTTCTATATTTATTATTTGTTTTATGCTACTACCCACCTTAAAAATCATAATTGCTTCTACAGTAGTGCTTCGACTATGAGCGTAATTCAGGGCGACATCAACATGTCTAAACATATAAACTCCAAGAAGAGGATTCCCAAGTATCTTCAGTGTGGATGCTCTGGTACTTAGCCCATTCTGGTAGATCTCTACCACATCACTCTGAGAAAGTGCTAAGAAACAGAAATGTTCTTCCAAGTCTCTGCCATGTCTTCCATTCTCACGCATCTCTGACCTAAGTAAAAACAAATGGTATACACAGCTAAACTAGAATTTTCAAAAAGATAAGCCATTTCAGTTGCTCAAAGAAAGCAGAAAGTACTGTCAAAAATCAGAGGTACTAAAACTTACACTATGATGATTAAGTTGGCACTGAAAACCATCTAGAGACCAAGTTCAAGATTCATGTCCAGGATTTATGGATAGCTTGAATGAGTAACAATTCTGGTAACACTTTTAATGTAGTCAATACAAAATCTTAAGCTTTATTACACATTTTCTTCTCAAATATCTAGAAAATTTTTCTTGTCACAAATATTTAGAGAATAACGTTCAAAATGAGCTACCTTATGCTTTAGCCAAAGTAATAGTGACAGGGCTGGAATAATATAGTATATCTCATTTTACTGGCCTCCACTGTTTATGGCAGTGTAGTATTGTCTATTCAATCAAGTCTATCCACGTTCTTTTTACTTCAAAAGCATATATTCATTTGTTTTATCTCTTCTCATATTTTACTAATTCAGCCAATATTATAAACATTCTTTAGTTGTATTTTCTATGATGATCTGTGTCTAGTGACCTAGAATATTATTTTTTAAATGGGAGGGGGGGCGCAGGGATGTCATGAAGCATACCACACAGGATGGTGTACTTGATATATGTACACACACACACACACACACACACACACACACGTATCATGTATAATGCATATATATGTGGTGTGTGTATGTGTGCACATTCTGAATATTCTGTAGATTTGCCATTCTCCCATCTCTTTCTCAGGCCTTCCTAGTCCTCAGACAAAAACTACTTAAACTAGGCCATCTCATAACCTTATAATGGCCTTTAAGGGAAGAATCTCTTGCCTCTGTTTAGATGAAAATCTTGAAATGCTAACCTTAGCAAAGAACACATGCTGAAAGGTGGAAGAAGATGAATACAAGGCTTCTTGTACCAGTCAGTTGTGAAAACAAAATAATTGGTCTTAAAGACCATTAAAACTAATAATCCTGTGAATATTCATCTATGTAAGTAAAATACATTTTGCTGATGAGAAATCTTAGTAGTTTATATAGAATATCAACAGTTACAACACTGGCTTAGCTCAATGCCCAGCTGCGAACATGTTGTTACATTACAGCACTGTGGGGGCTGAGATGAGGGAGCTGGCACAGGCTGCTTCATGAGCTTTAAGAAGTCTTCATAGTATTAAGTGCCAAGTGACACACCCAGTGCTGCTGTAGCAGCTGCAGCCAGTTATCCAGAAGATCAGCCGAGGTGACTGTTGAAGGGGGACACATAGCAGACACTCACCAGCTTTCTACTGATTATTTCTACAGATGTATCAACTTCAACTCTCAGAGCTAGTAGAGATTAACATCTACTTCAAAGGACAACCTCTCTATAGGGGCTAATGTGACTAGTGACATTAAATTAAGGCCAAGTACCATTTATCACCTGTCTGAAAATCCTAGGGTCCTTAAAAATTACAGTGAATTTACTCTGCCACTGCTCTATGAGTAATGAAGCCTGGACAAGAGCACATACATTTACAGCATGGTTAAGTGATAAAGACAGAATGCAGGCCGTATACAAAGAGTTTCTGACAGTGCTACTACTGACAACGTTGGCCCAAAATATTTTTTTTATTTTTTATTTTTTTTGTTTTTTTGAGACAGGGTTTCTCTTTATTGCTTTGGAGCCTGTCCTGGAGCTAGTTCTGTAGACCAGGCTGGCCTCGAACTCGAAGTGATCTGCCTGCCTCTGCCTCCAGAGTGGTGGGATTAAAGGCGTGAGCCACCACCACCCAAAATATTTTAGTCAATTATCTTGTTTGTAAACATCACAATATTATTGCTGTTGCTGTTTAGCTTTCCCGAGTCAGAGTTTCTTTGGCCCAGGCTGGCCTTGAACTCCTGATGCCTGCCTCTACCTCCCAAGTACTAGGATTATAGGCTAATGTCATACTTGACAGCATTTTAACGATTAAAACTATGTAACAATAAAAGTCTCAAGCTTACAACTATAGCTAATCAAAGCCTTAGAAAGCTTTCTCTGGAGTTTCACAATTGTGGTAATAGGGGTACGTTTCAGTTTTTATCAAATGCTTTCAGAATTACATTTGAAAACATTTTAGGCCTAAGTACAATTTAAGGTTTTAAAAATGCTAACGAAAAATAATATAACTATTTCTGGCTCTATAAACTGTGTGAGAGTTTGGCTTTTCAAAAGTTATTCAAACACTAGGATGCCAAAATGTCAAACAGTAGACACCTGTGAATGTTGTAAACCAAGAAAACAAAGTTTAGATGCAAATCAGGAGAGAAGAGTTAACTTAGAGAACAAAGAGCATTCCACCAAAAGTGACCCAAAGGTGTTTAGAATAAGACAAGAAAGGGGCATGTTTGGCAGGTGCTGAGCACTGACACTAGTCAGGGGAGCTCTGGACTTTGCAACTGTGCTGGGAAATCCAGGGATATACTGGCCACTCTGAATTTTTTTTTCTAATTAAAATTTAGTTTCACATATTTTTATTATATTCTTTCCCCTCACCCAAATCCTCCAACTTCATCCTCTTTCTCTCCATCTAAGATAAGAGGGTAGCCAATACACCCAATCACACTGCATTGGAGAAAACTCAATTTCAAACAGCTCTGTTGTTAGGGATGGTACTGTGTGTCCACTTCCCCTTCTCTGTGCTGGGACTGACCCTGTTTTGTTTGATTAGAATCTGTTCATATCTAGTGTATATTGTCAGTTGTGTGTGGATGACTGTGTTTCCTAGGAGTCACACACTCTGGCCTTTGCTCTCTTCAATCACTCAAGGTCAGTGAAGAATGTTTCATTTGGTGTTTTTAGTTCTTAATACAGCACTTGTGTGGCAAGTTGTTCCCGTCTGGAATTTCTAAAATGCACAGAGCAATTTTTGCTATATCTTTGGACACACTATAGCCACTCTTACTTTATCAGTCTCAGTATGTCTCCTTCAGAGATGACAGAAACGATGAACCTAAATAGACTTTTGTGTATACAGTAATGTATAATCAGGTAAGTATATGAAGAATGAACACACACCAAGGACTCTATCACCAGATCCCATGCTAAAGGTCATATTTATCTTGATTATTAAAAATTAAGAGACTGGGGAGACCGCTCAGTGAGTAAAGTGTTCCTAGGCAAGTATGAGGACCCTGGCCCAGATGCTCAGCACTCACATAAATGACAGACATGGTATCCCAAGTCTGTAAGTCATGCTGGTAGGGTAGGGAGGTGGTGCACGCAACATGTGCACTTTCTGTGCTGCTTTTCTAGTTGAAACAGCAAAGTTCAATCAGAGACTGTCTCAAAAAATAAGGTGGAGAGCAAGAGACAAAGATACCTCAAGTTATCCTCGAGTTTCTACACATGAATGCAGACAAAACACAGACAAACACACTCAAAATTAAAAAATATTTAAAGATATTTAGAGTCAGTAACTTCCTGGAAACTTTTCTTGTGACTTTATGTAGCAATCTTAATGAGGAACAAATATGGCAGAGCCTGTCACTGTGGCCTTCTTTTTCTCCCTTTTACTACTATATTATTAACTAGTAAGACATAATAAAAGTCTTACATTAGAAAAAGTCAACACTAAGAAGCTAGTTTGCATAGAGTAACTATGGCCAGTAGAAACAAATTAGAATCTTGTATGTCTTTCCAAAGATGGTAGAGTATTAACATCCTACTATCTTGCTAACTCCTCTGAAATAAAGCAGTGCTTTTGTTTTCTGTTACTGCTGTAACAAACTGCCACAAAGTAGCAGTTATGTAGCTACTTAGCCCAGCATGTGTTTTATTAGGGTAAAATCAAGTATCTGGCCTGTTTGTGAGATTCTGGAGGAAGATCCCGCCCTCTTGCTTGTTGGTGGAATTCACTAGTACTAGTAGGAATGACATCCTTGTTTCCTTGCTCTATATTTAAGGCCTTTCCAGCCACAAGCAATCACCTATACATTCCCTGACTTATAATCCATTTCCTTCGTTTTCAAGACCAGCAAAAGCAGGCTAAGAGTCTAAGTCTCTCTCACCACCTGTCTTTCCAAACTCCTTCAACTCCTCTCTCAGAAAGACAGCTCATTGTAAAGACTGCTGTGTTACAAACATAATCTCTGCTGTACCTGAATGTGACCCAGGTGCTGGTCTTCAAATTCTGGTCTTCATGCTTGCAAAGCAGGAACTGTGGTGATATATTGCTTATGATTTACTAAAGCTACTAGAGATCAAAATAACAAAACAACTATACTAGTCCGTCATAGAAGCCAGGCACAGACCTTTAATCCCAGGACTCAGGATTAAGAGGTAGAGATGAAGTCTGTTATTTCAAGGCCACACTGACTACATGAAATTGATCCAGGTCTAAAAGAAACAACTCACACAAATGTGATCTCAGCATTTGGGATCACATGCCTTTAATCCCAGCACTAGGGATGTAGAGACAGGAGTGATATGGCTGGGCAAAGAAAGGAATAAGAGGAGGAGAAAATAGGAACTGAAAGCCTTTTGCCTCTGAGGATTGGTGGGGACAAGATTACTATTTCAGCTAGGTAGAGGTAAGATCTACTGGCTTGACTGATTTGCTTCTCTGATCTTCAGCTTGAACTCCAATATCAGTCTCTGAGTCTTTTATTTATCGTGTTACAAGACACTTTACCTTTACTTTAGCCATCTCTCTAGCCTTTCCTTAGTAATTCTTATTAAATAATCTATGTTTATTTTCTTAGTAATAATTACTAGCTTTCAAGTGACAGAAATAAATTAACATGACTCCATGATTAAAAAACAATCTCAAACATGCGTCAGCCACACACACTTACCTCTTAGCAGAAAACTGTTTTTCAAGATACTCATTTCGAACCAGCTTTGTATCGCCAAACTGCCAAGTGAACTGCAGGTCACAGTTTACATCAAGCCTGAACTGCTTCAGAGTGCTATGTATGAAGCCATACTCTCTAGTATTGGTGTAACAAGAAGACAAGTAAGCTAAGATAAAGAAGAGGGAAACAGTTATATGTATTTTAACAGACACTGCTTATCTGTACAACGACAATAGTATAGCTGACAATTTGGAAATTTCATTAACAAATGAAGGCAACAATTTACAATTAAGGTTGTACCACAGTAATGTGGATGTCCTATACTTAATGTATGTTAAAACATTAGCATTTTCTCCTCATACTATTATAGTTATCAACGATTAACATATACAGACATAAGATAGTCCTAGAATGTAGATGAATAATTTTTAACTTAAATCACAGTGACTCCACAATGTCGCTAATTAATAATTACACAAACCCGGTAGCTTCTGTTAGTACTTCTTGGTATTTAAAGATGTTTGGTATGTAAAGATAAGGTGTGTGTTAAGAATATGGTTGAACTGCTAAACTGTTTCAAAACAGCAGCAGCATTTTGTGTGCCCACCAGGAGTAAATGTGGTCCTAGGCTCCATACCCTCTCTGGCATTTGTTGTGATTAGTGTTCTAAATTTTGGCCATTTTAAAAAGTATGTAGGGCCAACAACCGTTTATGCTGGAGTGGATGTGCAAACTTGTAGAGCCACTTTGGAAATCAGTATGGAGATTCCTCAGGAAAATGGGAATCAATCTACCACAAGATCCAGCAATTCCACTATTAGGCAGATACCCAAAAGATGCACATTCATACAATAAGGACATCTGTTCAACTATTTTCATAGCAGCATTATTTGTAATAGCCAGAACCCGGAAGCAACCTATTTGCCCCTCACCTGAAGAATGGATAGAGAAAATGTGGTACATTTACACAATGGAGTACTACTCAGCAGAAAAAAACAATGAAATCTTGAAATTGGAAGGCACACGGTGGCACTAGAAGAAACTATCCTGAGCCAGGTAACCCAGTTACAAAAAGACAAACATGGTATGTCCTCATTTATATATGGATTTTAGACATGGAGCAGGCGATTGCCAGCCTACAATCCACACCACCAGAGAGGCTGGGAAACAAAGAGGACCCTAAGACAGACATGCATGGTACCCTGGAGAAGGGTTAGGGGACAGGATCTCCAGAGTGGATTGGGAGCATGGGGGGAGGGGAGAGGGAGCTGGGAGTCAGAGAGGAGGAGAAGAGGGGAAAGGAGGACATGGGGAAGCAGGAAAGTTGAATCAGGGTAAGAATACAGTAAAGCAGGGTGAGAGATACCACAATAGAGGGAGCCATTATAGGTTTGAGGAGAGATCAAACAGTAGGGAGATTTCCAGAGATCTACAAAGATGACACCAACTGGCAATTTAAGGAATAGTGGAGAGGCTACCTTAAATGCCCTTCCATGATACTGAGATTGATGACTACCTTATTTATATGCCATCCTAGAACATTCACCCAGTGGCTAATGGAAGCAGAGGCAGACACCCACAGCTTAATACTGAACTGAATTCCTGGAACCCAGCTGTAGAGAGGGAGGAGTGATGAGCAAAGGGGTCAGGATCAGGCTGGTGAAACTCACAGAAAAGCTGAACTGAACAGGGGGGAGCTCATGGACCTCAGACTGATGGCTGGGAGGCTAGCATGGGACTGATCCAGACCCCCTGAACATGGATGTCAGTGGGGAGGCCTTGGCAATCTCTGGGGCCTTTGGTAATAGATCAGTATTTATCCTTGGCATACAAATGGACTTTGGGAGCCCATTCCACATGAAGGGATGCTCTCTCAGCCTGGACACATGGGGTAGGACTTAGGCCCTGCCCCTGATGAAATGACAGGGCATTTGGGGATCCCCCATTGGAGAACTGAAGGGGGATGGGGTGGGAAGTTGGTGAGGGGCAGGGGAGGAGGAAAGGAAGAGGGAGCTAGGATTAACATGTGAAGTAAGCTTGTTTCTAATTTGAATAAAATTAGAAAAAGAAATTAAAAAGTGTGTAGTGGTATCTATTTGTTTTAACTTTCATATCCCTGATGATGTATGATGTAAATGCTTTTTTTTTTGTTTTTTGTTTTTTTTTGGATTTTTGAGACAGGATTTCTCTGTGGCTTTGGAGGCTGTCCTCGAACTAGTTCTTGTAGACCAGGCTGGTCTCGAACTCAGAGATCTGACTGCCTCTGCCTCCTGATTGCTGGAATTACAGGTGTCCACCACCACTGCCTGGCTGTAAATCCTTTTGTTTTTAAGACAGGGTTTTAGTGTGATGCTTTGAAGCCTGTCCTGGAACTGGCTCTGTAGACCGGGCTGGCCTTGAACTTACAGAGATCTGCCTGCCTCTGCCTCCCAAGTGCTGGGATTAAAGATAGGCACCACCACCACTGCCACCACTGGTATAAATCATCTTTTTTACACTATTTTCTATCATCTTTGCTAAAGTTTCTCTTAAGGTGTTTGACCCAGTTTTTAGTCTGTTTTCTGCCGGTTGATTTTAAGGGTTCTTTCCATACTTGAATTAACAGTCTTTTATTTATGTTTTGTGAACAGGTTCTCAAAAAGTCTGTGGCTTTCTATTTTTTATATAAAATTCAAACTTACAACCAAAGTTAATTTTTTTAGTTAACACAATGGACTTGTTCATGTACAAACCTCCCCACCCAATTTCTGAATATTACTGAGGAGTAGGACAGAAATATAAGTTGAGGTACTTGTTCATGTTTTTACAGACTGCAAATAAGGGTTTACGTTCCAACATCTGAAATCAACATGATTCTGTAGTTGTTTTGGGAATTCTTTCAGCCCAAAGTCTTTGAGGTACTGGCCCCTTCAGGGCAGGGCTCAGAGGCTACATGTGGGCTGGGAGCAAATGCTGGGCTCTCTTGGGTTGTGGTTGGAAGGTGGATGGCAGCAAATAGGGGCTAATAAAGGCAGAAGACCTCGGTGGATCTCTACCTTGCTTTGTCACTTGTGGGTGATTCCCCAATAAATAACCGACTTCCCTTTATTCTGGGCTCTTGTGGACTTCTTAAATACATCCACATGTAGTACTATATCTTAAGCTTTACCTAATAATATTTACATTTTTAAAAAAGCCTCTACTTCACTACAACTTCCTAAGCTTTATAATGTTTTGCTATCAGTAATTGCAGTTTTGTAATTATAAGGAAAAATAGTGACCAATTTCATGTGCCCATCAGTTAATTGTCTGATGACCTGGTTAGAATCCTTGCCAAAAGTTTGGTGGTAACTGCAAGTAGTTATGAATGCTATGGAGGTGATGTAGCAGATCACTGTTTTCAGATCAGCTTTTGTACAAAAACAAAGGAAGAAAAACATCTGCAAGTTTGATACTAGAAAAGTAAATAAATGTCTACAACTGAATGCTATGGAGTGTAACAGAACTTTTAATGAGTGTTCCTCTGGTTCCTTTGAGATCCTCAGGGTGCTTCTGAATATATTCCAAAGCCTGTTCCACCTCATTGAATTCAAAAGCACAGTAAAATACTGTTGTACTTGTCAATAGATACAATACCACTCTAATCTGTACCACTTGCTGACAGAGGTTCAGCATTACACTCCAGGCAAAAGCATCCTAAATTTTCCTATCTCCACATCTATCAGCAAAGTGGCACCAAGTTCTAAATAATCAGGTGGCTTTCCCATTTCAGAACCAGACTGGGCATCACATACATCATATCATGAGGCCAGCAACAAGACTACCTGTAAAACTGAGCGGGTCCTTGGGCTTCAGCCCACTGACAGTACTTTTCAGAGCACACTTTCATTTTCAGTTAAGTCCAGATAACTCAACACTTTCTTGGGTCATGCCTTTGGCACTGTAACTGAGTTACAGCTAAATCTAAGGTCATTTAGACTTTCTTTTAAGTTAGCTATTTGTCTTAGTTATGGTTTCAATTGCTGCAACAAAACACTACCACCAAAAAGCAAGTTGAGGAGGAAAGAATTTATTTGGCTTATACTTCCACATTGCTGAAGGAAGTTCATTACTGAAGGAAGTCAGGAGTTGATGCAGAGGCCATGGAGGAGTGATGCTTATTAGTTTGCATCCCCTGGCTTGCTCAGTCTACTTTCTTAAAGAACCTAGGACAACCAGTCCAGGATGGCACCACCCACCATGGGTTGGGCCCTCCCCCATTGATCACTAATTGATAAAATGCTTTTTGGGTGGATCTCATGGAGGCATTTCCTCAGCTGAGGCTCCCTCTTCTCTGATGACTCTAGCTTGTGTCAAGTTGATACACAAAACCAGTCAGTTCACTGAGGTACTGTTTGAAACAGGGTCACACTGTCACTCTGGCTGCTCTGTAAACTCACTAGAAGATCTACCTGTCACTGACTGATGGGAATTAAAGGCATATGCCACCACACCCAGCAGCTATGTTTTATAGTTTCATTTACATTGTTTGCCATATTTTGAATTGATTTTTTGAGTTATATTAAGTTTGTTTCTACCTTCATGTTTTTGCACTCTGTTGAAAATACCCATCTTCACCCCAATGAACTGCTTTGTACCTTGGCCAGTTACAGTTGTGTGGGCTTATTCTCAGCTACTATGTTAACAATAATCTATTTGTCTCTGCTTCTTCCATCATCACACTGTCTTTATTACTGTAGCTTCACAGTAAGTACTGGAATCTGGTAGGTAGTTTTACTCCTCTATTAGTCTTCAATATTAAGTTGGCTCTCTGGATTTTCTGCCTCTCCATATTAACTTGAGAATCAATTTGTTGATTTCAACATCAATTGCTGGGATAATAGATTGGAATGGTCCACAAATCTAGTTGTGAAAAACTAATTTTGGCCATAGTAAGTCTTTCTATATATGAACAATTATTATCTCTCTATTGGAGTCTTTCTAATTTTTTCACAGAATAGTAGTGTCTCTCCCCCCCCCCCAATCCCCGCCATGAACTTGTGCTATGTTTTAGATACTAATATAATTGGCATTGTGGGTTTTTAAAATTTTAAATCCAACATGTCACTAAAGTTGCTTATGAGCATCAAATGTTGATTCTTTTGGATTGTTTTACAACAGCAATCATGTCATCTAAGAGCAAGGGCAGTTTTATTTCTTTCCTTCCTATTTCTTGTCTTTCAGTACAAAGATGAAAAGGGAAGGGAAAAAAAGACATCTGTGACTTGATCTTAGGGTTTAAATTAAGCAAGTTTTTTACCATTTTAAATTCATTAGCTGTAGGTTTCTTGCAAATACATGTTGACTGGCCCTTATTCGAAGTAGTTGAGAACAGGTATTTCAGGTTTCTGACATTTTCAGACTTTGGTACATCAAATAGACCATCACTTTAGTACCCTTTTTCAAAAGTCTGAAATCCTAAATCCTAAATTGTTAAAGCATTATGATAGCAACGTAAAAAGTTTTAGGTTTTGTAACAGTTTGGTTTTCAAGGTATTTTGGATTTCAGAATTTCAGATGAGGAATAATAAACCTGTATTATAAAACTTGGAACATTCTATTTTTGCTTTACTAAATGCCATTTTTTTTTCAAATGTTAGTTTGTACCAATTGGTACAATCATTTTTTTCTTTATATATTGGTAAATATAGCATTTTCTAATGTAGAACTAGTCCTACCTATATCCCCAAGGGGTACATTCCAAATGATAATAGTGTAAAAGTCAATAAATTTTAAAAATGACATTTATATTTGTGTGTGTGTACAAGTGCCACTGCACATGTGTGGGAGTTCAAAGGATGATCTGTAGCTGTCAATTCTCTCCTACCATATGAGTTCTGAGATTGAACTCAAGTCATCAGGCTCAGTGGCAAGTGCTTTTTCTTCACAAAGCTATCTAATTCACTCTAATTTTCATACACTGTTGTATTTAACTTCCTAACATTCACTGAGGTGTCTGCAGGTATTTTAATGATAGAGTACATGAAAACAAAGCACAGGTCAGTTATATTTTTGTCTTGTTTGGATATTAGGGTGAAGATGTACTCTCAGACGAGATTATTGTCTTTTTCTTAACTGTTTTTAGTTGAAGTAGTTACATTACTTTCTCCCTTTTGTTTACCCCTCTAGCTTTCCTCTTCACCCTTCCCTTTTCCTCCACTCTCAAGTTGATAACATCTTTTTATTATGTTTCTTTGTGTCAGTCCTGGTTTACTGTGTATTTGAGTAATTGTACATTTTATTTAGTGTATAAAATATCTGGGCACATAGTCATATATTAAGAAGATAATGTCCATGAGATCTATAGTGATACTTCTCTTCTTAGCAATTCTAAGCTGTTGATCTTTCTCTTCCAATATATGCATCGGATGCTGTGCATTCCCCTCTAAGCACTGCTTTTACTGTGCCCCCCCCCAAATTTTGTGTTTTCATTTCCATTTAGTTCAAGGGGCCTTAAAGTCTTGCTTTAAAAGACTATAATGGAAGTCAACACCACCATCAGTCATCTTGATTTAATATATAGCTATACACTATTCCAACGATAGCATAGTACACATTCATCTTAAGCCTGCATGAGACACAACACACATACCACACCTGTGCCTGAAAATATGCCTCAGACAAAGCCTGCTCTTATATCACAATGAAATTTAAACATTTGAAATAGCAAAGAAGATAGCTGGAAAATCCCAAAGTATTTGGGGGAAGGAAAGAATATGATAAAAATATACTATGTGAAGATATTTAAAAAATAAAGTATTTTCAAATAATCCCAAGTGGTGTATTCAGGGTACTGATTGTTTATGGAGTAGCTTTTCTCACTCAAGTTGAGGAATTCTTGAATGGTGATAAGATAAAAAGATGTTATTATGTCTTGGACATTTGGGTACTATCATATCTAGCCTTGTATTTTAGCAAGTCTTTACTAAAACCATGCTGCTTGGGGAAACTGCTGGTAGTTAAGTGAACAGCTAATCCCACAAGGCAGGATTGAAGTCCTTGTTTTCTCTAGGGCATACACCAATACTCTGGAGGATATGCCCTGATGCTACTTCAGGCAGGAAAAGTACATTCGGCCTGCTTACTTAGGCATTACTAGGGTGAATGCCTGGATGTTGTAGAAGACCAAGCTCTGTATTTTGCTTTAAGCATCTCTACCCTAGTAAGAAGGGACAACTCATTGCCACAAAGCTAGGGTTTTGGTAGTATGGAATTTACTGATGGTAAATTTCCATCTCTGATGGCAGAGATGGAAAGTCCAGGCTCCCCACTTGGTCACTCATGGTAAAGGAAAGAGAATGCTAACCTTGTTGTAGTCTAGGCTTCCTACTTGGGCTTCTTCTGGTACCACATTTGATGGCAAGGTGTACCTGCTTGTTTCTTTCCTCTACTTAATGTTTATTAACAAAGGTGCAGTGGCCATGCCCCTAGCCCAAATTCCTGGTGTTTCATAGTAGTAGTATAGTATTTAATAGCTCCCATCTTGACAAGCTGCCCCACCTTTCAGTCCCATGGCATAAGAAAATGATTTTTTTTATTTATTTTTTTATAGGAGAAGCTTGTACCAAGTGGTATTTTTGGATAGTAGGCATCAGTCTGGGTTAAGCAAGCACAAAGTCTGGAAAACATGTCATTAACTATTCCCTAGCCTCAGGTTTCTTAGTAGGTATCTTACATTTGGTTTACAAGTAAAATCCAGGTTTTTAGTGTAATTACTGGAAGTGTAAAGACTGGGAGCTGTGACTACTCCATTTTGTATGAAATCAGAGGCATATGCATATCTGAGGGAACGAAATATTTGACTTAGTCTAGTCAGAATGAACATGAATGAACCAGAGAAACAGGGTTTTATAAAAATCCTCATCTTGTATATACATTTTACCTTTTTCAGTTGTCCTCCTGATCTTTGGAATGGTGAATTTCCTCCGAGAACTGGCTTCTGCATCAGTAGTCCATGAAGATTCACTGTCTGGGCTTGTTTGCCATGTCTTATCATTCTCTTTCATTTCCATTTTGTCGGTGGCCTAGAATCAACCCCAAGTTAAGATTAGATGTGCTTCTTACCTCTCTGTGGAAGTACAGCAGTACAATGTGGCAGTAATCCGAAAGCCCTCAGAGAAAAACTGAGTAAGGATATTTTCTTAGTCACACTGCCAACCGGTGACAATTGCAATTTGCCAGGTTACCCCAAATAGAAAATAAATAAATTTGAAATATATTATTTTATATGTTATACCTTTTAAAGTTTTCAATAGATCACTCTCTTGTAATTTACTGGATTACAAAGTAGTGGCCAAAATCCTCTCCATTCCCCCAAAGCTTAAAAACTTCCACCAATAATGATTTTTGTAATTATGGTAAAATTCTTGCCAACTATTCTATTCTGTAAAAGTTCATTTTTCTATGTACTATGTTGCTACAATTTCTGCTTTTAGGAGAAACTTATGAGAGTCATATATTGCTCACTGATGACCATCCCTACACTTACCTTACAGCTAACAAGTCACTGTTCAATTGGTGATTTCTCCAGTCTACAGTCTTTAATTCAGGGTCCACATTATACTAGTATTAAAGAAACTCCTCCTTTCCTTTTTCTCTATCCTCCCCTGCTTCTCTCTCTCCCACACTCCTCAAACAGATTTTTTCTTTTTAAAATTTTATTATATTAGAAGAAGGCATTTGATGACAGTTAAGAGACTTTTGTGAGCTGCCATGTGGGTGCTGGGAATTGAATTTGGGACGTCTGGAAGAGCAGCAATTGCTCTGAATTGCTGAGCCATCTCTCCAGCCCCTCAAACACTTAATACTTTTTAATCTCTCAAAACAGAAATCAAGCTGGGTGTTGGTGGTGCAAGCCTTTAATCCCAGCACTCGGGAGACAGAGGCAGGAGGCCAGCCTGGTCTCCAG